TTTAATCAAGACCCCCGCTCCCGCCAGAGAGCATTTCTCTCTCTCGCCTGTGACTCCCACGCAATGTATTCAAACATCGCGCTTTCGACGCTCAGGAAGCACGGTGCGCCAAGGACGTCGTCACAATTTAGCAATCGCGCTCCCGCCATGCTCAGGCATCCCGCTTGAATGCCCCGCCCGCCCGACCCGCCCGTCAAGGGATCGCCCGCCCGTCGTGGGCTCCCGCCCGAGACTTCCTTCAGGAACGGCGCTTTCGCCTAGGACTTCCTCGAACGTTCGCGCTCTTACCTTCCTGCTCCTCCTCCCTCTCCCTCCTCCCTCCTCCCTCCTCCCTCCTCTCCTACCCTCTCTCCCCGTCCTCTCTTCCCTCCTCCTTATGCCTCTCTGCCGTATCCCCTCTCCCTCCTCTCCCTCCTCCCTTCTCCCTCCCCTCTCCTGCCTCCTCCCTCCCTTTTTTTGTTCTCTGTCTCTCTATCTCCTCTCCCTCTCTCTCTCTTTCTCTACCTCTCTTTTTTTTGTTTTCTCTCTCTCTCTCTCTCTCTCTCTGCCTCTACTCAACCGCCCCCCTCTTCGCTTCTTCTCTACTGGCGTTGTCCCTCTTCCTTCGTCCCTCCCCCTCCCTTCCTCCCACTCTCCCTCGTTCTCTCCCTCCTCTTTTTGCATGACAAACAGACAGACAGACAGGCCCGCATTCCAGCCCCGAGGGGCGGTCCTCTCAGAGGGCAGGCGCATGGGACACGCAGTCCCTCGCATTGGGAAAACTGACTATCAATGCATTGACATGTGTGGAAAACTACATGTATGTACACTACACACGGCTCAAGATGCTCACTCTCTCACAAACCGTTCCTCCGAAGCACTCCACATATCATGTTGCTTCGCGCAATGCTGCCATGACATGCCGGTATCTTGTTTGTTGATGTACTCCCGGATGTCGTCGTCCCAACGCCTCTTTGGCCTGCCAGTGGACCGACGCGCTGTGTGCGAAGTCAACGACGGATCCCAAGACATCGCTTGCGAAGCCCAACGGTCGGAGTCCATATTTGCCACCCGGTATGCCCAGCGCCATTTCCTTCTCCTTTGCTGACGCACCCATGAATCAACATGGGCAGCCTGCAAATGTTCTTCTGTCATCCGTGTTGCTCTTCGGATGAAGTCTGCCCACGGCTCCATGTGTGTATTCTCTGGAGAACCTGAAGACGCGCATTCTGGCTCTGACTTGGGGTTGCTGTCCACGTCAGCATACTCAGCATCAACGTCGTGCGCCTCCTCTCGCGATACTACTTTACGTTTTGTGGCTAACATGTGTCTAAGCATTCTCCGCTGCACGCATGTGATTTTATGCTCTACGTCGCGAGTCACAGGCCATACTTCGCTACCATACAGCAGCGTGGGCGCCACCGTGCTGTTCAGCAGCCGAATTCGGTCTCTCAGTGGATAATGTCTGCTTGTCAACTCTTGCTTATGGATTCTATACGCTGCCCATGCCTTCCGGATCCTGTTGTTGAGCTCGCAATCGAAAGGGTTCTCGCAAGATACAAGACGCCCCAAATATTTGATAGCTGCTGTCCTCGGGAGGATCTCGATGTCCAGGCCGTTCACGTTCACCGATGCAGCTGCTTGCCTTCCAAACTTCTTGCGCGCATTTGTGAATATCTTCGTCTTGTCCGGGTGCAATGATAAACCCACGCTGGCGGTTGATGTCTGGCGGTTGATGTCTGGCCCGTCTTTTTGCATGGCCCACACCAATTCCAATAGCGGGCACATGTACGCCCACGAAGGATTGTCCGCCCGTTCAGGTTTGCCCGCCTGTCTAAGCCCGCCGCCCCCCGCAAACTAAATAATCCCCCCCAAAGGGGGTGTGATCGAAGACAAAAAGGGCGGGTATCGAGGGTGTGGGGAACTTCTTGAATGACGCACGGGCAGGTAAGAGCGAATAGTCTTGGAATGATTGTTGTTGTTGTTGTTGTTGATGCTACTGTTGCTGTTGTTGTAAACCAGGGGCCAGGGGCACAGTTTGACCAGGAAGACTTTCTCCAACAAAAACACAGCGAGCCCCGGCAGGGGCACTTCAATGAAAAAAACAACTATGTTACGCGATTGCGTGAATCCTGCGTTATTCGCCAGGAAGTCTATGGCGAGAGCGCGATTCCCAACTAAATTATGAGGAGGTCCCAAGCGAGAGCGCGATTCCTGAATAGCGAGGACGTGGCGCCTGAATAAATTGCGAGGGAGTCATAGGCGAGAGCGCGATTCTGTGATACAGTGCAAGGAAGTCCTTAGCGAGAGCGCGATTCCGTAATACATTGCGAGGAAGTATCCGGCGGGAACCGTTCTTGTTGTAGCTCGGGGGCCAACAGCGCAGTCTGAGGAGGAAGACTTCCCCGGATAAAAAAACAAGGTGCGAGCCCTGGGAGGGGCACCTCAATTGAAAAACACATACGTTACCGGAGGGGGGGATCAACAATAATTATTCTTCAGTTGTGGGGGCTCAACAAGAAAAACACCAACACCACCAACAACAACAACAATAGTCCGCACCGCGGAAGCCCAGTTCAGCCACGCACCCAGGGACAGTGAATGACCGTCGGCCCCCTCGCTCTGACCAGTAGCGCCTTGTCAGCAGCGCAGTGTCATCAGCAGCCGTAGCAACACCAACAGCGCAGTGCCGACAACGCAGCGTCAGTTGGCGGCGAGCGAGGGGGGAAGCGAGAAGGGGTTGGTCTTCTCAGAAGGCTCGGAAGTCCCCCAGCTTTCTGGGGTTCAGCGCGGATCCGAGAAATCCTCGCGGAGCGCCAACAACTTATATTAATCCACGTTTTTTCTGTTGTTGTTCCTTCTTCTACTTCTTCTTTTTCTTCTTCTGGGGGCCAGGACAAGAACACCCTGGATGCGCCGTGGGGCTGCGCCGCCGCCGCTGCTGGCCGCCATCGCTGGCCGCCGTCGCCGCTGCCACGGCCGCCGCTGCCGATCGCGGGGGTGCCTCGGCTGCCTCGCCGCTGCCGCTGCTGCCCCCGCTGGAGGTGGAGGAGCGCTCCTCCCGCCATTGAGCATCATTTACAAGGAAACAGGCCACCCAGAGATCCGATCGCTCCAACAAACATTGGAGCGGGAGGTTTTGGGTTGCTTTCGGCCTCCGGGGGCCCTCGTCGGGCTTCGGGCCCGTCGAAAAACGGCTCAGGACGACAAACGGGCCCTAGGGAAGCGGTCCAGACCTCCAGGGCCCACGCATCGAGAAATTGGAGCAGCCGGGCGCCGCCAGGGGACTCCACTGCAGATCCGATGAATCCGCAGGCCTCCCGACAATTTATGTTTACGGCAGAGTTCGTTCCCCGAGTTTCACCGATCTCTATCCCCACCGGCATGGCCTTGGCCCCACTGGCCGACTTACCCCCTGCGTGGGGATGTATGCTGGTTCCCGTGGGTTTCCCAGAACCTATCCCCACCTAGGCGGGTGACCTGGTGGGGCTGAGGTTCCATGGCGCAGAGTGGGTGGGGATCGGTTCGACGATGGTGAGCCATCGCGGGTGCTGCTCGCGCGACTGCCTCCACGCACTGCTGCCGCCGCCAGCGCCGTTGCACCATCACGGCTTTTGCTGCCGCCATTGGAGATGCCGCCACGAATATGTCGACCCGACGCGCCCTGCCACGCCATCGATGTTTGTCACAACTTTAGCCACTGCTAGTGCTGCAGCCACGTGCGATGCTTATTCTTCCTCCTCCACTCCACATTATCGACCCGCTGTTTCCACCTCCATCTGCAACTGCATCTCCAACATCACCTACATCTATACCTCCACCTGCACCTATATTTCTACGTGCGCCCCAACCTGCCCCTCCATCACAACCACCTTCTGCACCTCCTCTTCAATCTTCATCTCCCTCTTCCTCTTCCCCTATCTTCGCAATGGCACAATACGGATGCTACTCCCCTCTCTGCCTGCCTCTCTCTTCCTCTTCCTTTCTCAATCTCTCTCTCTCTCTCTTGTGTTCTCTCTGTCTGCTCGCCTGTCTCTCTCTCTCTCTTTCTCTCTCTCTCTCTCTCGCTATATTTACACTGTGTTATGCGGGGGCGTCTTTCCATTTTCTTGCGCACGACGAAAGTCGGATTCCGAATCTGTGTTTCTCCGATGTGTCTGTTCAATCGGATCTGCTTCGGTCCTGAAGCAATATATCCTCTCGCTGTAGCGCTTCGGTCGAACGTCAGGATCGGCACTTGGCTCCCGTCGTTGAGACTCGCGCTCTCGCCACAGCGCGGGCCACACGTTTCTGGATCCGATCCGTTCCTCGTCGTTGCCGCCCCCCTCTGTTTCTCTCGCCTTCCCCTTTGTCCTCCTGCTCCTGATGTTCCTGCTCCTGATCCTGCCGCTCCTCTTCTTGCCTCATCCATCCTCGTCCGGTGAACCAACCTCCTCTTCCGATTGCATATTGCACAACTGATCGTCTTGAGGACCAAGGCCATCGGAGACACCTCAACCGGCAGGGAGAACATGCTTCAGCGCAGCAGCAAGGGCTGGGTGGGATGGGTAAAATGTCAGACATGGCGCGGGCGCGCCTCGCTTGGCCTCCTCCTCTCCTCCCCCTCCGACTCCACCTGCTTGACCCACTGCTTGGGAGGGGTGTGTAGAAGAGTAACTGGGGGAAAAGTAGGGGTGTAGAGGGAGTGGTGGGGCCTGGAGTCGTCGTCGGACCGAGGCGTGAGCACTCCTGCTGAGCTCCGATGCACTTCGTGCGAGGCTGCGGGTGGCGCTCGGGGTCGAGAGGGCTTGCCACTTACGCCACCGCAAGCTCGCGACGGCAAGCCCACTTGGGATGGGGGAGGGAGGGGGCGAGCATTGGCTGGGGGTCCTCGGAGGTGGGGGGGTGCGGAGCCACTCGGAGAGCCGAGAGCAACGCGCCGACGCTTCCACGCAGCCGTGCGAGCCGCTTGCAGCCCGAGCTCCGAGCGTCCACCGCCGAGGCGGCCAGCCATCGAGCGGCGGCGGGGGGGGGGGGCCCGCCTCGTCCAGGGTGGCGGCGAGCGCCAGTCTCTCGGCCTGGGCCGCGGGGGCGGCGCCGCAGGGTAGGCGGCGGCTGCGGGGAATCCGCATCGCCGACGGATCGCCCCAGACCGACCTCGCCGCGCCCAGCTCCCTGGCCCTGGCTGATACTGGTCCTCGAAGATGATAAAATCATGCATGTGCATTACTATTACCATGATTATTATTATTGTTCGCACTCTTTTTTTATTTTTAGTTTAAAAAGAATACTATTATTACTACTAACATCATCATTACTGCCTTTATTCGTATCGTTAGTAATACTGTCTTTTATAATAAGAAGTTTTCTTCTTCTTCTTCGTCTCAGCATTGTTATTGTGGTTAACCTTACTATAAATACTCTTTTCAGTATTCTTCTCATTCGTATTCTTATTACTACTACTATTATTCGGATTCTATATTTATTACGAATGAAAGCTGAAGAAATTGACACAACCCACAACGTACAAATGGATTCACGCAGAGATCGATGCCAATCACAATGTTGTCGCGCATGGCAGACGATCGTGTGTTTGGTCGGTCTATCTGGTTTCATCTTCTAGGGTCTGGCCGCGTCGGACCGGAACCGTGGCCCCGGCGGCCAGCGAGTCGGGTTTGCTTGGGATCGGGTCTCCGAGGCGGCCCTGGGAGGCGAGGGGGCACGAGGGGGGGGAGGGGGGCGGGAGGCGGCGGCCCGAGCAGGCCGGAGACTGACATGAGCTGCAGCTGCGATGAACGAAGCTGAGACAAGTTAGCCAAGCACGGGCAGCACGGGTGGCAAGTCTGAGGTCAAGCCGGAACGCATCTGTGAAGTCCTCGAGCACAATCCCGAACGCAAAGTACAAGGCCAAGTTACCAACTTAAGCACCGTGCTGAACGTTGACCTCATCTGGAACCTAGTCATACATACATCTAAGCTGCCCTCGGACATGCTAAGCCGAGCTGGGCGAATGCATGATCAGACAATCGAGCAGATAAGCCGAGCTAAGCGAGATTTATGCCGAGTAGGCTAAGCGGATATATGCCCAGTTGTGAATACAAAGGCGATTGCGGGAGCGAAAGGTCGAGCTACAGCCCCATAGCATTCGTGGTTAAGCGCTTCAGCATGTTACGAATTCCACTTGGTAGGATGCAGTCGGTATTCTACGATACACAAAAGAGCAACGCGCACGGTCGAAGCCAATCTGAGCTGAGCTGAACTAGCCATGCCTCATTGGACCTAGTCGAAGGCTGGGCTACTCTAGTGCTGGCTAGAGAAGCCATGCTCTGATCACATGTTATCGAGTAGCCATACCCTACTAGCACATGCATGCCCGAACTTAACCAGAGACCCAAGTCCCAGAAGGGCAACGTATATTTCGTCAAGATCGCCTTGCTTATCTTATCTACGGCGGGCCAAAGCGGCTTGCCTACCTACGCCGACCAGGCCTGGGCTACACAACGCCAGAATAAGGTAAGATGGAATACAGCGCCCTTAGCTCGGAGATCTCTCGGCTACTCCCACCCCTCTTCCTAACTTTACGGAACTAACCAGAGATCGCGTACGGTAGCCCCAGTGGACATGCAACTGTGTGTCCAGCTCTTGTGTTGTCTACTACGAGGTAAGCTGCTCATCGCCAGCCTGAGCAAATCTAGCGCTATCGAGCAGCGCCATCCTCCCCTAAACGAAGACACTTGACACCGAAGCTGTGGGAACGAGGTCGGGCCTTCGCTCACAGTGGACAACGACGTGATACCATGCCGTTTGCTGAATATTTAACTAACATTAGCGCTGTTAGCAAACCAAACAACCAAGCCGACGCCAACCTAAACGTACCTGGCTTTTGTGCCACCTGAAAATTATGAGCAGCAGCGCGGGCTTTACTATCATATGTGTGTGTATATATATGCAGCCACGAACGCAGGATCTGATCTACGCTGCGCGAATCGGCGTTACAGCAAGCCCGAGGGGAACCTGATGTGAAGCCAGCCAACGCTGTGGCGGGCTATCGTGGGCTAGGTTAAACAAGCCCGAACCAATGTGGCCTAAATGACGCAACGCCATAATACCCGAACGCACGCATGAATCCATGAGTGCCGCGCTGAGCCAAACTAAGCCCAACTGAAACGAACCAAACGACATGCAACTATCCGTGCATGTATACGAAACCAATCAATATTCAATGAAACTTCCGGGCGAATGACATTCAGGCGCAACGACAGTCTGAAGCCAAACCAAGCACAACTCGGATGAATACATGAGCCTCTGCGGCCGCCTCCAGAAGTCAGGGGAACCGTGATCCTTACCACGATCAGATCGCCGATTTCGCGGAAGGTGGGCAAGGGCTCCGATCGGGAGCAGCACCATTAAGGCTTTCAGTGTTTGAGTCCGCCGTTTTTTGAACTCCCATGCCCTCGCAGAAATAACATTGAACTCCTCGGCGGGTGCCTGTGCGCACCAGTATTGAAGTATCACCCAATCTGTACCTGGCGCATGAAACCTTAAACGACCATTGATTGCGTCAAATCTCCCAATTCAGCTCCGATCGGGTTTAGTATGTCGCCTGCCCATGCTCCTCCTTTCCTTTTCTCGTGCCGCTTCCGCCTCCATTTTACCCACATAGGCTTTCCCAAAGGGTTCGGCGAGTTTGGGAAGAACCCGTGGGTGCTGGGCGCAATCGTCGCGGCCTTCCTTCGGGGTTGCCAAGTCCTGTTTCCTTACAAGAGCCATGGGTTTCCCCCCGGCCTTGTCTTCCTTGCAAGGGCTCCTCGGGTTCCTGTTCTGTTCCTCGGGTTCCCCCGTCTGGTTTTAGGTCGGGCGTGTCCTCCTACAGGGGGGTATTGGACGAAAAAGCATAGTTAAAACATATACAAGACATTGTCACACATAGTGAACAAATCGTCCCCAAACTATTTTTGGAGATTCCTTCTGTAGAGGGACGTGTCCGGCTTAAGTCTGGTTCCTTGCTTGTGTCCCTCTGGTTCCCTGGTCCCGTTCCCTGCTCGGGTTCCTCGGGCTCCCTGCTTTGGTTCCTTGCTCGGCCTCCTGGGCTCCCGGGTCATGCTCCCCAGCAATGCCAGGGACTGCCACACCTTGCCAAACACTGCGCCCGGGCCATCGGAAACTTCATCCGACTTGGGGTCGCGGCAGGTAATTCGTTTCATCCTCTGCCTTCCCATGATCTTCTCGCGCATGGGGTGCCAGCCCATACACATACGTCTTGGCCATATGACCCAGTTCTTTTGCTAACGAACTACACTTGCAACAGTTAAAGCAGATTTGAGTTGACCGCTGGTTCAACTCTGGCACCACGATTCGTCACAATTCAATGCTGGAGTTGTGTCTACCCCCATTGGGATCTATGAAGGAGGAGCAATCGGGTTGTTGATGGGCGGTGGCCGCTTTGTTCACTTCTAAAGTATTTCTGGACGTACCTCCTTTCTTTTCAAAACTGAGGACGACTCCAATTCTGAACAACGAGCTCATGTTGCAATCTGATCGCCAGCGATATTTTGTTACCTGTGGAGGGTCGGATGACCAGTACATGGCCACACCCCTGTGACACTGGGGAGGGAAGGGGGAACGGGGAGGAGGAGGAGGAGATGTTGTGGACGTCTTGTTTGTGGACAAACGGTCTCCCCACATCCGCGCTCCAGTGTCACGGTGTTCATTGAGATGGACCACTGCAAACCGTAACCTTCGCACGCGCTCAAGTCACACCTACCTTCGAGCTCAGCGTATAGCGCGAAAGAGAGCCTGTGCCCAAATAATCGGGAAGAGTTGGCTTTCCGCATTCGTTTCTGAAAAACCGCGGTGACGTTCAATACTCGGGTCAGGGCGAGGGGTGCGCGATTCTATAAAAGCATGCGTACTTGTTTTTCCCCGCCCCCAAGCTCTCCACCGATCACTTTGGAGGGGACGGGTGGTTGGGAGGGGGTGAGGACGCCTGTCAGGGGCGAAAGGAGGGGAGGATATATGGAAAAGAGATGGAGGACAGAGGGGGCGGGGGGAAGAAGAGGACGCATGAAAGAGGAGGAAGCAGAGTGCGGGCTTCCACGAACGGTCAAAACCTCACGAACTCCATATGTGCTTGATCGATTCTGGTGGCGGGGGGAAGTCCTCTGGAGGCCCTCCTTAGAGGAACAAAAAACACTCATAAAGATACACTGTCGCCAGTCCGCGCGGATTTCTTGGATCCGCGCTGGACCCCCCTCCCTGGCGCGCGGAGCACGCCAGGGGCGGCGCCGGAGGCGCCGCCAGGGTGCCCCAGCGCGGATCCAAGAAACCCGCGCGGAGCGCTACAAGTTTATGTTCATGCCGTTGTTTGTTCTTCGACTCCTGTGACCTTACGGACGACGTCGCCATTTTTTCACAACGTCGACCCCCCAAGGTCTGGACCTCTGGGGACCGGTTTGTCGTCCTGAGTCGTTTTTTGACGCTCCCAGGGCTCGCCGAGGGACCCTTGAAGCCGAAAATGGCGGAAAACCTTCCGTCGTGACTTTTACATAATGCGAGGGGGTCTTGGTTTTCTGCTCGCGCGCTGTCTGCGCCACTCGGCGCGTGCCGCGCGCTCGTGCGCGTGCCGCGCGCGCGCGCGGCTTGCGCATCACGCGCCTCCCCGGCGGCGCTCCGCACTGGGCAGTGTGCCTGCCCGGCCGGCGCAGCCGGGCATCGTGCATGGAGAACTGGCCGCAAGCCCTGCTCGCGGGAGGGCGCTCGCAGGGTCTCGCGGCCGCACATGGAGCGTCGTGGAGGGGAGGGGTCGGGGAGGGCGGGGGAGGAGAAATGTCTGGGCAGTCAAACGCACCCGCATCGCTAGAATGCTGCGAGGCCTTGGGCGGTGCCCACAAGGGGGTGGCTCCCCGGGGGGTTGGCCTTCTGAGGAGGCGGACGGGGGCTCCTCGGAAGGCGGAGGGCCTTCCCAGGAGGCCTCGGAGGCCTCCGGGAAGGCTTCTTGGAAGCCAGGCGTGCTTCTGAGACGCCCCCCTGCCTTCTCAGAAGCCCCGCCGCCTCCTTAGAAGCTCATCCCCTCGCGCCACCCCGCTGTGGGCGCCGCCAGCATACGTACCTGCGCGGCCACTGTGTAGCAGAGGGGCGCAGGCTAGTAGACAGAAAAGCGCGTGCGAATGGCGCGAGCAGCAACGGACAGGGCGCGGGAGCGCCGTGGGCGTTGCCTGGGCTTTTCGCCCCGATCACGCGTGCGTCGCGTGACATCGTGCCACTGGCCATGAAATATCAGCCTGCACACTGACAACATGGCATGCCTCGGGGCCGAGGCCGGCATCGCATTCGTATCGAAGCGGTGCGAAGAAATAGCTAAATTCTCAGATTCGACGGGCTCAGCTCTCAGCTTGGTCACTTCGTACAACGCGATACAATTTCCAAACGGCGAAATTTCATTCGAAATGCCGCTGGTAAGAAGAGCAGAATAGCTGCCCTAATCAACATGTGATGGCAACTTGGAAACTCCATGCGAGATCCGAGCGCTCTCCGCCTTCAACCAGCAGACCGACTCATTCAAGGATATGAGAAAACCACCGGCTCCTTGGGGAAGAACTTCATGCATTGCCGCGTCTCTACCTCGCTGACCGACCGGATGTAGAGGAACAAAATACGGCATACACATAAACTTTCGGAGGTCCGCGCGGGTAGGGTTTTAGCGCCGATCTAAGACATCCGCGCGGAACTTCGAACACTTATGTTTCTGCAATTTTTCCTTCCTCTAAGATGCCGCCCGTGTACCCGCCGAAAGAACACTCCCGCATCTTGGAGTCCCCGAAGACCACCTCCAGCCTGTACCACCTGGGCGACGAACATAAGCGGGTCTTGCGCGATATGGTGTAGCGACCTTACGCGGTGTCTTGCGCGGGCCGCCAGCACGGTACGCTACATTGGAAACCAAGGCGCTTACGAACGACCTTACGCGGGCATCTTACGCGCCAATGTCGGTGAAAACGAACCCGTTTTTCTGCGTCGATCACCTGGAGCTGGCCGGGAAGTGGCGGAACGTGATGGTCGCCCGGGCCAGCCCGTCGCCGACCCTGGTGAGGGCGTCCAGCTGACCGTACCACCAGCCAAAGGGGCTGCCCTCCTGCATCCTCTATTTCAGAGTTCCGCGCAGATTTCTCGGATCGGCGCTGGGCCCCCCTGTCGGCCCCTCAGGTGCGGCCCTGGCGGCGCCTCCAGTGCGGAGAAGGTTCCAGCGCCGATCTAAGAAATCCGCGCGGAGCTCCGAAAGTGCATGCTTGTGCAAAACCAATCTTTTGTGCCCCGCGTCCTCCACTGCAGCTCCACGCCAGTTCCAACCTCGAGGCCCTCGATGCCCTGCAGTACGCGGTAGGGGTAGAAATTCATGCCGGGGTCGGCGGCGGCCTTGTCGCACGGGGCGTCGACCTTGGCGTCGCCGTCCTGCGAGGCGTGCGGGTGCCCGCCGAGCAGCTGGCCGCGCGCGGACTCCGGGCAGAAGCGGAGCCTGTGCCTCTCGCAGGCCGGGATCTTCTCGGGCGGGACCTCGCAAGCGCTGAGGTACCTTGCCACGTAGGCGTAGCTCCGCGCCTCGTACTGCAGTCGGGCGGGCATCGCGGCCATGGCGAACCCCAGCTTCTTCTCCCTGTCGAAGACCTCCAGGGTGCACTCCAGGCGGCCGTTCAGGGTCTCCCGGTACAGGTGGCACCAGTCCTGGAGGCCCTGGTAGTTGAGGCAGTCGTGGAAAGCGGGCCACTTGTGGGCGTACAGATCTTTCCAGATGGAGTTCGCCACAGGCCTCATTTGAATGTTCACGAACCGCGCAGACATTCCGCACAGGAAAGCGACGTCCTTAGGCGACTGTGCCAGGAAACCGACTATCTCGATAGAAGAACAAAGACGGCACAAACAAAAGCTTTCGGATATACGCGCGGATTCCTTGGATTGGCGCCGAACCCCCCTCCTTGCGCCCCTTCCCCGGCGCGAAGAGCGCGCCGTGGGCGGCACAAGAGCCGGTGCCAGGGGGGTGTAGAAGGGGCTCCAGCGCCGACGCGAGAAATCGACGCGGACCTCCGAAAGCTAATGCTTATGCGCTTTTTTGTCCTCCGGCTCGAACAACAGGGGCTGGCAACACTCCACGACCTTCGAGAGGCCATCGAGCTCGACAGTTTGCAGCCTCAAGTCGCACGCCCGCCCAGCGCCGCCGAGCTCGGCCCTGATGGGCCACGCCAGCCTGTCGGTGGTGTCAATCGAGCAGCTGGGGACGACGGTGCTGCATGACTTGCTCTGCGCGCAATTTCCCATGGTGCCTCTGGTCGCGATCGCGAGGACTGGCCGAAGGGTCAGAAAAAGCTGGTGTGCCACACGGCACCTTGAGCCGAAACGGCTCGGGGGCCTTCTAGGGCCACCTCGGGGCCTTTTTGGAGTCGTTTGCGCCCTCTTGGAATCGTTCGTGAGTCCTCCTGGGACATCCTGGAAGGCTCTGAGGCTATCTTTGAGGTTCGTGATGCCTCCCGAGAAAGCCCAGGGCGAGGCTCGACTACAAGCAAAAGAGACCCTGTGGAAGCGTGACCTTTGGTGCGCGGCTTCAGGCGGCCTGGGGGGGGTGGCGGGGGGCAAACCCGCGCACGCAAGCCGCTGCTATCGACATTCAGCGATCGGGCGACCCTACTGGACCCGCACCGAAGGTCACTCCAGCGAAATGTCACTCCCACCTGTGGGAGGCTCTGGGTAGGCATATGAGAGGCGCTCGCCAACACCTCCAATGCATGCAAAGAAGACCCCGCTTGGCGCGGTCCGTCTCGTTCGCAGAAAACCTTTGCCAGCGTCAATGTTCAGTCCCCCGCGGGTTGCCGCTGGGGCGATGGGTGCAGAATCGCACTGCGTATTATGGCCAAATAAAAAAACACACACACCCATACACGGTTAGGAACGTTTGCTTAGCGTGTCGCGGCGGCGCGCCTGGCGACACGCTATGCCCTCGTGTAGCGCTTCGCTCCGCTCCGCGGAGCGGGAAGCTGGGAGAGTCGAAAGTGAGCCTGGTAACTCAAATAGCATCCGATTCCGTAGACATCGGATGGCAAATAGCGTCCGGTATCGTACTGACGTGGTTCAGTAAGAGGAATGGACGGATAAGATCGGATAAGATCGATGTATCGGTCTTTCCAGCACATAGCGAACACTCGCGGTGTCCGGGCAAATAGGGCGCGCGTGCCTTGAGCCAAAGGCAACGGCGCGCGAGCTATGCTCCCGATACTATAACATCTCCCAAATAGCTACCCTTAAAGTCGGGAGGGGAGGAGACGGAGAGCATAGCCGCGCAGCCGCTAGGCTCTACAAAGGCCGCGCGCACAACTGTTTGCAAGAAAGAAAACAGTGTGTACAGTCTGGCCTAACACCAGACTGCAAGGCGAGTTTCCTCGCAAGGCATTTCACGCAAATGCAAGATAGCCCCTTCGAACGATGAAGGGCTATCGGCTCAGCTAGAGGTAAGCCAAACGGGCCATACCTCACCGAGCAAATCTGTAATAAGGCAAAGAGCCTGAGTCATATAAAGCCGGCTCGTTGCCAGGCGTGAGATGTAAGGCTCGTTTCCGAGCAACTAGAAGGGCGCCTCTGTAGTAGGCGCCCATGCTGGCAAATTGGACCGCGGGGGGCAACAAGGACAGAGTAAAATTGATTAGACTTGGGTTTGTTTCTGTCCTCGGGACCCCGAAAGGGAACAAACTGCTTCACGTCATACTTGAATGGCTGAGTGCCTGACATCACTTCCAGAAGCAGCTCCCGATCGATGCTTCCCTTTGTATGCCCGTCTGCGGTCATATCCCTAGTATCACACCATTGCACGTTATGTACTATACCTATATCCATGAGCTCACGTATCCAACTGATATGTCCAAGCAGAGTCCGCTCTGTCGGTATCTTAAGATCCTTGCTTGATAATGATTTATAAACGGACTCAGCGTCTATGGTAAGAGATACTTTGATGGCTAGGCCTCCAACTTCACGCATATCTCGTAGTTGTCGTGGAGTCAGAGCTCCTGCCTTGAGCTCGTGGAGAGTGATGAGCGTAGGGTAACACTCATCGAGGTTATGCGCCGCTGCGAGTGCCTCCGCAGCATAGCTGGACCTCACCTGCAGTCGGTGTGATTTGCATAGTCCGTCACAGAGGTGAACGACGGACTTGCCTTGAGGCGAGTTTCCTCGCCGTAGTACATTCGCCCCGCGTGTGCCGTATCCCTTGGTCTCATCATCCTCTTCCCCGGTAAGCTTCCGATGCCCCGAATCGCTGTGGATGTCAACTTCATTCGTCGGCTTCATCCGAGGGAAGGTGATGCGTTTCGGGCTGCTGATCAGCTTTCGCGTCACAGCATTCAGGCGTCTGACTTGCAGATTGGTGGGCTCTTGGATTTTCTGGAGAGAGACCACGTGTACCATGAGCCAGATTTGAGTAAGAAGGGCATATGCGAGGGCTCCTCGCAAGCTGACGAACATGTCGGTAATGAGTTTCGTGGCTTTGGCATCGGCCGCCGCTCCTGTAAGTTCTGGGTGTGTGTGATAGGACGTAGTTGTTTGATATACTCGTCCTGATCCATAATCACATCCCCTGGATCATTCTTAGTGTAGCGAACGGCGCAGTTCGTATATGTGTGTTTGTTGAGCTTGCATTTTCCAAACACCTTTTCGACGCGCTGTACATAGTCGTCTATATTTTTCTCTAGGCCAGCCATGTTAATATCATCGACATGTTTTGCCGTTAGCAGATCTTGGCTGAATTCAAATTCAGGGTCATAACTGGTCGGTGTAAGGCCCATAGCTCGTGTGGACGTACGAAGTTTGAGAGAGAACGCTCTTGGAGCGTCCCCGTTCCTGGTTTGAGGCATCTGAGGCAGTGCCGGCTGTCGTCATAGGATGAGAAGCCGGGTAGTGTACGAAGTACCTGAGCACTTCCCGGTGGAAGAGTGAAGCAGACCATGCGAGTTTCCTCGCCGGTGGCATGGGCAAGTTCCTCATAGGTCAAACCCTTGAGGAACGCCTTGTCGATATCCATGGATGCTAAGATCCATTCTGGATGGCATGCCGCCTCACTTGCCAGGAGTCGTTGGGATTGCCTTCGGGCGGTTCCCGAGAATGTTTCTACGTCGAAAGCCTCAGTATCCATAAATCCACGAAGGACAAGTCTGAGACGAATGGTTTTAACGTTCTCGGTACCCACCTTTACAAACTTCCATTTGTACACATACCTGGATGTCATTATGTTGGAAGCTTTGGATAAATCATACATCTCAAAGCATCGGTTGTCAATCCAGATTTGGAGTTCAGTATGCAAAGCTTCACTAACCTCCTTTGGATGTGCTGCTATGTCGGCTTTGGTCAATAGATCGTCTTCTTTAACGACCACAGCACGTTTAGCAGCAGAGGATACATATACTCTCATCGTTGCGACCATATCGGTGTCGAGCTGTGCAAGTTGAGTCTGACCCAATACTACTTTTGACATTTCTGATGTAAAACATAACTCAACGTAAGGACCATATTCATCACTGTCAGGAGAGTAGCTCTCGTCAGGTGTGGTTGAGCAGAGAGAGACTAGACAGGACTCTCGTGGTTCAGGCTCGTCTCCGAGCATATCCGATGATATGATATCTTCTCCGTCCACAGACGCTGAAACCAAAACACATTGGTCAGGCAACATGGTTGTTGGGACGCAGTAGAGATAATCGTCGGTAGTTGTCGTAGGATGAAGGTCCATACGTAGCTCGTCGTACCACTCTTCCAGCATCATAGCTTCGATATTATGTTCCTCATTTTCCTCATAGATTGTCGACAGACGGCCTTCACTCGGCGATGAAGCACCAGGGGTGTCTGGAGGAGGCCTGTTTCCAGGCGGATCGTGTTCTCCAGACGTGTTGCTTGAGTGCTGATATTTAGCCAGGTCGTCGTGAAATCCTAAGGAAGGGACACGTGAAGTCAAGCATTGAATAAGTCTGGAATGAGTGCTACCAGTGATCTGAGAAATGTTTAGGCCGGTGCCCACACATTCGTAGTAGTGGAAAGCCGGGCTGATATCGTTGTCATAGTGGATCAGCGTGGACCCGGTGGCGTACTTTACTGCAGGTAGGCTTGACACACTTTTGGCCAATCTAACTGCTACTACATGTTCTACTCGGAAGTAGTTTCGCACGAGATACTGTAGTGCTAAAGGTACGCGCGGGTGAAACTTGCTATCGTCTGAAAGATTGAGGTTTCCCTTGTAATCGGGGATATAGCCGAAAACTTTGGCAGGTTTCCCTGCGCCGAGATGTGCCACATATGTAAGGACGGTTTGCATGGCCATATTATCCATGCCAAGTTCCCGTGTGAGGAGACATTCAATGTATAGTGTGTGACGAGCATCAGGATACATCACAATTACCTCACGAGATCCTGCCTTGACAACAATATGTCCTCTTTCAGGCACATTACGGATCACCGGGAATGGGCCATTCCAGCCTCCATGGTCGTCCTTAGTGGCAGTGGGTCGGTGGTAATCGACCAAATCCCCTGCATAATAAAGGCGAGCACCATCAGGAGTCGTTTTAGCCCTAAGAGCCCGATTTGTCTTGGCCACAGCAGTGGCCTGAGTTATGGCTTCTAGGCTGACTTCCCTCACACGACGTTCTCGTTCGTGTCCTGAAGTCTCGGGTCCCTTGGGAAAGTCAAGGGTGTCGAGATCAGGGAGGAAGGAGGGCTGACGTCCTGTGTGTGCTTGGTATGGCGATACTCCGTTATAAAACGTAAAAGCATTAGTAACGAAGATGCCTTCCGCCAAAACTCTAGTGAATACAACA